TTAAGTGACTTACCTAGCATCACACAGTTAGTAAATGTTTGAGGCCAGATTTGAACTCAGGAAGAGGAGTCTTCCTGACTCCAGTGTAAGTGCTCTATCCACTGAACCACTTAGCTGCCCATCTTTTTCCTACATAGTTGTTTTTATGTTGTCTGCCCCATTAGACTGTGAGCTTCCTGAGGGCAGGGAATGCCTTTTGCCTTTTTTTTTTTTGTATCTCCAGTGCTTAGTTGTATCTCCAAGGCTTAGCACAGTGGCTTGGCACATAGTAGGTGTTTGATAAATATTTATTGATTTACTGACAGAGGGATTTGCCAAGAGTTACACAGGTAATAAGGAGAAGAAGCTAAACTGGACCCCAGGCCCACTGACTCCAAATCTACCTTCTTCTGTTTTCCCCACTGCACCAAACTCCCTCATTTAGTCCCAAACCATTTTCTGGTTTGATGTAGTTCAAGTTATGACCTCAACCCAAAATCCTGCTGCATTTGTGTTTCTTTTCTTTCTTTCCTTTCCTTTCCTTTCCTATTCTTTTCCTTTCTTTTCTTTTTCCTTTCTTTCTTTCTTCCTTCCTTCCTTTCTTTCTTTTTTCTTCCTTTTCATAAGAAGAAAGGTTCAAGTGGTCTTTCTGAAATTAAGTAATTTAGCTCCTTGAGCCTATATTTTCAGCTGAAATTTCAGCTTCTTGAAGAGGCCCATTTCCCTCAATAGGTTCTCAGAATTTTTTTTTTTGTAAATTGAAGTCAGCAATAAGCTAGTGTTTGAAACTGAAAGCTGATTAAGTGCTCATGCACTTATTTAAATTTCAGACAGCACTTTCCTACACGAGGAGGAAGAATGTGTGATGTGGGAGGTCGCTGGGTGCATTGTCTCTTTAAACAGTGGGGCTGTGGTTGAGAGAGGAACAAAACAATCAGAGAAAAGTGGTTCAACTTGCATCCTCTTCCTGTCACATTTTCTTTCATAGAAAAGTAATCCTGGGGAGGTACTCTTGGAATAAAGGGTGGATTCAATCCAGTCATCTCTCTAGTAGTAACTGTCTTTATACAGGTGGAGGAAATGCAGTTCTCCAACTTTTGATGCACAGAGCATCAGAGAATATTGGTTTTCAACTCGGCATATGGCAACAACGATATACCAGGAGAATTGTTGAATTCATTTGTTCTCTTTGATTTGTGTTGGAGATTCTCTACTATGTTCAAGAACAGTATATGCTCCAAGACTAACAGTGGGAAATGATAACCAAGGACTAGAAATAAACTTTTAGTTAGTAGAACTATAGAAATGGCCATTAATAGCCATCATATAAAAATAAAACAAATGCAAAAAAACTCTTATTTTACTGCTTCCTCAGCAGAACAGGAATAAATTATATGCTTAGAATAAGAATATATATATATATATTTATAGAATGTAGAAAAACATATATATGTATAGTTCTATCAAAAGGCATATATATTAATGAAACTTAGAACTGTATATCTACATACAGTTCTCATAGTTCTATTAAAAGGCATATATATTTATAGAACTTAGTAGAATTTATATATATACAACACACATGTAATATACATATACATAGTTATACTAAAAGGCAATTTGGTTTCCAATTATATGTAGCAATCAGTTTTACTTCCAGTAGACAGATGAGGAAGTACACTTCCTTTTGCATAAAGAGAGGAGTAAGAGGAGTGTGGGTACATAATGTTGCACTTATTGCTAGATATGTCACACACTATTGTGTGTCAGTTCTGTTTGTCTTAGTTACAAGTTGCATGAAACAAGGGTTTTATGGAGGTGTGTCTGTATATGTCTGTGTGTGTATGGGGGGTAGTTGGTAAATGAGTGTAAAACAAAAATTATCAGTTATATAATATACATACATGTCTATGTTCACATGTGCACACATATATATACATATATAAATTATATTTACATATGATGTATTTCTTGGGACAGAAGTGAGCATAATTTAATTGAAATACCATAAAAGAAGGGAAAAAGTCCCAAAGAGAAGTTAAACTTTATCACTTAGATGTGTAATGGCAAACTCCATGTAGATAAAATCAATTTTGTGAAACTGAAAGAAAAAACCTTCAGGACTGGGCTGCAAATTGACAAAAAGGTATCACTATAATGAAGGATGACTTCATTCACTGCTGATGCACCAGTGTTTATACATCCCTAGAGTGCACCCTTCTAATTATTCTCCTTGGAAGGCTCTTCACTTACTCTGGTGGGTGCCACCTTTGCTAAAAACATTTGGAATTCCTCTTTTAGGAAGGAAACAAGCATTTATTAAGTGCGCAATATGTGTTATGCAGGATGCTAATTACAAATATTATCTTATTTATCCTCACAGTAACACTGGGAGGCAGGTGCTGTTGTTTTCCTCATTTTACAGCTGGGAAGGCAGAGAGAAGTTAAGTGACTTGTCCAGGGTCACACAGCTATTAAGTATCTAAGACCCAGTATGAACTCAGGGCTTCCTGACTCCAGGCCTGTGTCACCTGGCAGTCTTTTTAGACTTGCCTTTAGATGTAGCATTTAAATATCTTTAATAGTGGAACATTGTTGGTTTTTAAAGATGAGTTTCAAAACAGCTAAAAGTCATCCTGGAGGTAGTTTGGTGAATAAGGTGAGTGGTCTAGAAGGGAACAACATTTTTCTTTCTTATTTTTCTCTTTTGAGTGCTTTTCTTGTCAGACTAATAGTCTGACTCTGAGAACTTCCCAAAAAGATTTTGAGCAATGGAAACATCGCTGGCACGACTATGTAGATTCTAAAGGGAATGACTTTGAAGGACATTTTTTTCGGATGAACAAGTTTGGATAGGTTTAAGAACAATCTTTTTTATTTTAGAGCGAGTGTTCGTGTGTGTGTGTGTGTGTGTGTGTGTGAGCTTGTTGATGTGTGCATGTCTACACGCAGGTCTAAGTACACATCCACTCACTGGGTGTCTGCCTATCCAGACACTTTCATAGCATTAAGTGGGAAGCTACTTTAGCACAAGGACAGAATTGGTTTCTGAGATTCTTTAAATGAACCATCTCGGGTGTTCTAAATTGGGGAGGTCAAAGAGCAGCTGTCCTGGAAGGGATGGGCACTGCTGACTTGACTTACCCCCAACTCGCTCCCAAGTAGGAGCTGTTTGAAAGTTAAATATACTCAAACCAGGAAATCACTATATAATGACTCCTCCCTTCTTGAAAAAGAAATAAAGGCTTACCTAGAAAATCTGGCACTTGGGGAAAGCTTTACAAATGCTCTGTAATCAACTTTGTAAACCAAATTAGGTTGTGGGAATACAAGACTCTGTGAGGGGAGAGGCCTCTGAACAAAGAGAGGTCATTGATGGGTAGGCCAGGAGGGGTGAGGGCAGATCCGGGAGGAGTTCACCTGGGACTTTTCCAATGGGGAGAGAAAGCAGGCCATTTGGTACTTTTTTTTTTAGTTTAAGATTATTTATTTCTGGAAGTCAAGCTGATACAAAATCCCCACTACAAAGGCTCAGGTAGGTATTGCATAGAAAGAGTTGAGTACCAAGGGTCATATAGGAGCCCCAGTGTAGATGCAGGAGCAGAAATGAAGAGTACAAAAGAGCCTGGAAGAAATCAGACTGGAGAGACCTGTCCTTCTGGCCATCAGGCACAGGAGTCCCTAACCCATGGTCTGATCTGAATCTGGGTTTATAAGGCTGCTCCTTAAAAAACACACAGAACTTTAGGGGGCTCTCTGAATTCTTATCTACCTAGTTGTGAGGGACTGTCTGATGTTG